ATATATATATATATATAATCAGAAGTCATTTTGATTCCATTTAATTTAAACCATCATTTCAAATAATAACTGATTCTTCCAAATTGCCAGAGTGAACAGATGACATGAGATCAGATTTGTTAAAGACCTAAATCCCAGAACATGAGACTGATTCAGCTTCCATAAGATAGTTTGCTTCAGGGCACTGAGAAATAAACCTTATTAGACCAAACAGACTGATAAAAGTGCTGCTGATCACACCCAAAATAAGACCAAATCACTTCAACAGCTCCTGGCTGCAAGCAGAGATGAGATCCTCCTGCAGGTAGTTCAGTGGGAAACAGCAGTGACTCAGTCGCAGCGTGCATGCTGTGGATCCTGGAGGGACTGAAACTGTAAAATATTAACAGGACAAAAAGAACTCAGTGAGAATGGGAGAGGATGACTCTAGAGCAGGGGTGGAGACAGATATTTTTGCATGGGGCGGGACAGGGGAGGCCAAGGTGTTTTTTTAGGGTAGCATATACAAAAAAACTAATCTAGATTTGAAAATTCAAGATGGCCTCCACAGCTAACTTCAAATGGCTCTAATTTAGCTGTTTTAAGAAATATTAAGCTGAAATTTTGTGTGATTGTAGCTGATAAAAAAACATGCTGATAGCTCAACTAAGACAACTGCTAATGCTAATTTTCACAAAGGGATTTAATTTGGCCAGTTTTTAACACAGCTTAAAATTGTCATAATAGCAACCGAGAAACAATCTTGTACAAAACCTGATTTCAAATCCAAGATGGCTGCCAAAGCAAATTTGAAATGGCTACAACTCAGCCATTTTTAAACACAACGAACTCAAATATGGTGTGGTGCAGCCAAGAGCAATGACTTTCTGAAAGCTACCAGCTAGCAAAACAAAGGTTTTCATTAAATGCACATATTTGAAATGCCACATGCAAACCCCACCGCAGATGTCAATCGTTTCAGGGCGGTACTTGCCACCCTGGCCACCCCTCTGGCTCCGCCCCTGCTCTAGTGGCCAAATCAAAGGCAAATTCACAAGATAAACCAGAGTGATCTGTCCTCCTGACCCCTGTCAGCCAGATATTTGTAAAGAGATTTCCAAAGGGGAACAGTTATATATCCCCTCCTCTACACATAACAAATAGCTACATGTCAAAACTAAACAATGATCCACCTCACCAGGACGCAGACACATTCAGAGTGGTCCACCCGAGTGGCTCCAACAACTCAATAACCACCTCAGATCTCTGTACTAGTTAGCACCAGAAACCTCAAGCTACAGTGAAATCATGTGGAAAAACAGGATGAGCTTGGTTTTTTCATAAATACATTTTGTACCCATAACATTTTTTTAAATCATGCGTAGGTTACTTTTTACTATATTCAGGAACATAATGTACCTTGCAGGTCTACAAACAGGTACAAACAATAGGTTCAGACTTAACCCTGAAGGGTGCAAAAATATTAAAACAACTTTTTTTGAATGAAACGCCTATTATCAGAGGTATACAAAGAACATTTACTGTTATAATATTTAATAATTTTTTAAAGATTTGTAGTTTTACCAAGTGCTTTTTTAAATGGAACGTTTTCTTTTATTTCATTACTATAAATATATATAACATAGAAGTGTTGAATTTATTTAATCAAGTTATGTCAACGTGTTCCACGAAACTGAGTTGAGTACATCTAAAACAATTTACAAATTTTTTAAAGAAAATGTGTAAGTTGTTCGATTTATTCTATTTGGTTTAGTAAATTCAACACTTCGTATTTTAGAGTGTGTGTAAAAGTACTTTTTACTTTCCCTATTATTGTGAGCAGTTTATGGCTTTTATAATTACTTTTCTTATCTGTGAAATAAAATTTTACTGAACTCATTTTCTATTATGGTAGTTTTACTTTTACTTAGTTCTTTTTAAAGTACTTATACCAATGCCCTGCCTGTATAAATAATTAGGATGATCTAAATCTGCATCCAACTGTTAACAAATAAAGTTTTCATGATGGTATCATATAAAATAACATTTGAAGACAAAGCTCAACTGAATGAAGGGGTTTGCTGTTCAGGCAGGTAAAATCTCAGGTAACTCAATACGTTGTGGTGTTTTTGTTTCTTTGAATTATATG